TATGCGATTTCACGTCATCATTTGTCAATCCCACCCCTCCCGTGCCGCGCACATACCTCAGGCAGACCTATAGCGATGTTTTTACAAATATTTTGCCTTTAGGTTCAGAATGTCCAATTCCCAAAATGTCAAATTCTCAAAATAGTACTTTGGACATTTCGGGAATTGGACATTTTGTCAATTGGATATTCCGGGATTTGGACATTTTGAAACCGTTGGACANTTGTAATATTATGATGAATTGCTTCAAAGATTTATTTGTAACAAACTATAATTATTTTTACAGTGATAATTGATTGTAATTAGATACATACACAATTACAATTTCAAAAGAATATGAAACGCTGAAGATTTTAAATTTTTAATAATTGTGTAATTATTTTTAGAAAGTTATTGATGTTTAGAAATCCGAAATGGATATTATTTACCAAAATATCAGTTTAATAATCGCTTGCTCTCGCTTTATAGAGGCTACCTATATTGTCAACATATTATAAGTCTAAAGCAGGGGTGGCCAACTTGATTAGACATAAGATCTACTGTTTACTAACGAAACCCTGGGCGATCTATCACTTACATACTTCTTGAAATCTTTAATGAAACAGCATAGTTTACATTACACAATCATGTAGTATTTTGCTTTTCCACGATCTACTGGCCTAATAGTCAACAACATACACAATCATGTAAACTCTGATTTTTAATTCGACGGAATTTTGACATTTCAGAAGTGTTGTCAACATTGAAACATTCCCATTATGAATGGAGAGCATTTTCACAAATTAAAAAATAATTCTTTCTTGAATTTAAGGTTTCACTTGAAAAACTAAGGCTTAAAAATGTACTGATCATTTCAAAATGGTTATTTGAATTTTTATTATCATATTTTTGAAGTTACAAAAAAAATTGGGAAATTATTTTTCTATCTACATGCCAAACGTATGCAAGGAATTACCATTTAGTTCAATATTTTTTGGTTAATACCATTTTTGTTCAAAAATAAAAATAACAGTCGTCGCGATGGTTCAAGGGTTCCTTTCAGATCATAGCGGTTTCGTACCTAAATCTACACATATTCTTATTTGTTTATAAACGTAAAAACTCAACGCATCTTTTCCACGCCTTTTGCGGAATTCAAGGCTTATCTTTCATTTCCACTGGGTCCCCAAACTAATTTTTGTAAGCCAATTTTACGAACTTTGTCACATTTAAACGGATTATTTAAACATATCCTCTCCGCAAATGAAACAAAATTGATTTAGATCAATCACACAAACACTTTTTAATGCTACCATATTAAATTATACAAAGAAAACAAAGGTTTTTTGGAACTGTCGGCAAATTAAGACTGAAATTTAGCAATTTTTGAGTGAAAGCTATAACACGTAAACAAGAGCTGCTACGAAAAAATGGACGGCAGATTCAGAATCAGCGACGTCAAATTAGTAAACATCATGTAATGAAAGTCAATCATCAGCCAAAAGTTGCAATTTTGTTGTGCAGTGTTATTTGTTACTTGTGCTGTTAATTATAATTCTCAATCCGTAAATAATTTCTTCTTTCTACCGTGTTCGTACTACTGTCCTCGTAAAATCATCGTAACCGATTGTTGTAATCGGATTACATGAACATCACTCGACCATGTATGTCCATTTGGACATATCGGAATGGCACGCTTTGACGATCAACTTGCTGTATCTACTCTAATCCATATCTGTGGTTGGACATTTTGGGAATTGGACATTCTGAACCTAAGGGATATTTTGACGAAGTTCTAGTGTTGATAATATTTCATAACCTGTATGCAATAGTTAGTTCAAGTTATACTCATATACAGGTCACTAAGAATGTGTAGAAATAAGCTTAAAACAAAATCTGCTTAATAAATTATTTATTTATTTAAAAATTGTTTTATTAACATTCCTTTCCTTTCTGTATAATGGCGACACAGGTTCTTGGAAATGGCAGGTAATTATTATTTATTATAATAGTTTCATTTGCGAAAAATACAGTATTAAAATCATACTGATTCACTGGTAATAAAAATATATCAAGCTAAAGTTTACACATAGGAGTTTTTTCTTACAACCTGAGGTGGAATTGTGTAAAGAAATCGTAATCATTTGACAGTACATGTACGATAAAGTCAGTTAAACCACGGGTTAAACAAAGCGTTTGACATAATAATCGTACGTTATGAACTGTTAAATGATAACGATTGCTTTACACAATTCCACCTCTGATCAAGTTAACTGCGCACGACCACCGTGACGTCACATCGACGTTGGTACGGACGGGGCGAACGCGGGGAGGTGTGCGGATGAGTAGGAGGGAGTCGCATTCCAGCGCGGTGCGCAGTTAGCTCGATCGAGTTGTATACAGGGAGGAGGGAGTAATCTCCCCCCTTACACAAAGTAACTTTCGTGAGTTTTAGGCATGTTCAGATGGCAAAATTTTGATGCGCGTTTTCAAATCGCACGACTAGACATCGTAGTATTTACATACAACCGATCAGCGTCAGCGAGCGTTGACGCGGCGCTCAGAGAAAAAGTCTCTAGACGCAGGCGATCGCGCGCTTTGACAGCTATGAAAAGTCCGTTGACTGTTCAGATGAGCGCGCGCTTCCATCGCAATAGCTTCTTCCACGTCCATTTTCTAAGCTCTATCGAAACAGACTGACGAGCTCCTCGCAACGCGCGTTAGCGCTTGTCATGTGAACTTTTTAAAAATTTAATTCCGCGTTGACCTACGTTAACGCGTGTTACATGTGAACATAGCTTAAATTTCCAAATAGCTCCACGGAGCAAAGTATGTACCTAGTTAAATACAAGAACTTGGGGCGAATCGATCTCGAAATTAAAACTCAAAAATTTAACTTTGTCTAGAAAACATAAATTCTAATCTCGAATGCTTGTGATGTGACGCAATTGAATTTCCTAGTATACTTTGTATAGAGGGGCCAACACCCGTATTCACAAACTTGCTAAGTGAAGCAGCAAATCGAATGCACAGCGTTCAATAGAGCTCTGTGGTTGGTTTGTGTGTCACCCTGTGCGTCCACGCGCACTGTGAGACCTCATAATGTTTGTGAATACGGGCGTTTGTACATATAGAGGGGCTAAGTAGTTTTCGCTCAGACAGAGTGACAGAGTTCAGAGAATCAGAGTGAGCTACAAAAAATGCCCCAACTTGTAACTATTTTTTAGTCACAGGCGATATCTTTTAGGCATAGGCGATTTAGATAATCAATATCCGCAAAATATTGTAGATTAGCACATTTACATGTATTGCATATTGGAGTCCAAAATAAAATCTCTTGAAAATGAGTTAGTAGGCTTATTATAATCCATATCTAATCTCAATGTAAAGCCAATTTTACTATTTACAAAATGACACTAGAATTATTACAATAATCTTAATTATTTATTACAATGTATGAGCAAATGCCACTGAATATAGGCACTAAAAATTTAGAAACTAAATTATAACTTTTGACTCTTACNATTTCATATTATTTATTAATAATTCAAAGCAAAAAAGGCTTGTTACATCTGAATTGTCAAAAAATGACAGCTGTCAGAATTCCGTCGAATTAAAAATCGGACTATAGTATTTTTTGCCTTGCCACGATCTACTGGACTAATAGTCGCGATCGACCGGTTGGCCACCCCTGGTCTAGAGCATGCATAATACCTTAATTCAGTCAGTGCCTAAGGTATGGGAGGTGCACAGTGGGTCTAAACAAAGTGCAAATTATAATCGCAAACCAGTCGAAAAGTGGTCGAAAAGCCCTTTTTTGTATGGAGTTTTGATTTTCGATCCGCTCGCACACTCACTGCGGGCGCCCGTCGCACAGTCGCGACAGCCATATAATTACGCGCGAGTGATAAGGATGGGTAGCTTGGGGTCATTGGACAAAATTCTACGTGCTCGCAGACCAGACTATAGGAGGGCAGGACGTTGTATTTGGAGATTTGTATGTTCTTTCACGTCATCATTTGTCAAGCCCACCCTTCCCGTGCACATACCTCAGACACCGACTGATCTATGCGCTAGGTAGAATTTGTTTTTACAAATATTTTGACGAAAGTTCTAGTGTTGGTAATTTCATAACCTGTATGCATTAGTTCAAGTTATTATACTCATATACAGGTCACTAAGAATGTGTAGAAATAAGCTTAAAACAAAATCTGCTTAATAAATTATTTATTTATTTAAAAATTGTTTTATTAACATTCCTTTCCTTTCTGTATAATGGCGACACAGGTTCTTGGAAATGGCAGGTAATTATTAATAATAATTTGCAAATAATACAGTATTAAAATCATACTGATTCACTGATAATAAAAATATACTATAGCAGATTATCAAGCTAAAGTTTACATAGGAGTTTTTTCTTACAACCTGATCAAGTTAACTGCGCATCTGACCACTGTGACGTCACATCGACGCAGTTACGGACGAGGCGAACGCGGGGGGTGAGTGCGAGGGAGAGTTAGCTCAATCGGGTTGTATACAGGGAGGAGGGAGTTATCTCCCCCCTTACACAAAGTAACTTTCCTGAGTTTTAGGCTATGTTCAGCAGATGGCAAAATTTTGACGCGCGTTTTCAAATCGCACGACTAGACATCGTAGTATTTACATACAACCGATCACATGAGCGCGCGTTGACGAGGCGCTCAGAGAAAAAGTCTAGACGCAGGCGATCGCGCGTTGACAGCTATGTAAAGTCCGTTGACTGTTCAGATGAGCGCGCGCTTCCATCGCAATAGCTTCTTCCACGTCCATTTTCTAAGCTCTATCGAAACAGACTGACGAGCTCCTCGCAACGCGCGTTAACGCTTGTTACATGTGAACATAGCCTAAATTTCCAAATAGCTTCACGGAGCAAAATATGTAGTTAAATACAAGAACTTGGGGCGAATCGATCTCGAAATTAAAACTGTCAAAAATGTTACTTTGTCTAGAAAACAATTCTAATCTCGAATGCTTGTGATGTAACGCAATGAGGGCTATAGTTTTAGCGCTCACCAGTTGGCGCCACTGTAGAGTAAGGTCCTGTCACTTGCTAGTAGCGAAGACAGTGGCGCCAACTTGTGAGCGCTAAAGTGGTAGGAGGACTATCGCATTTGCACTCATCAAGATGGCGCCACTGTAGAGTAAGGTCCTGTCAATCGCCAGGGGTGTCAACTGTTAAGTATAAAAACGATAGCCCTCATTGAATTTGCTACGAGTATACTTTGTATAGAGGGGCCAACACCCATATTCACAAACGATGCTTGCTAAGTGAAGCAACAAATCGAATGCACAGCGTTCAATAGAGCTCTGTGGTTGGTTTGTGTGTCACCCTGTGCGTCCACTCGCACTGTGAGACCTCATAGTAATGTTTGTGAATACGGGCGTTTGTACATATGACATATAGAGGGGCTAAGTAGTTTTCGCTCAAACAGAGCGACAGAGTTCAGAGAATCAGTGACCTACAAAAAAATGCCCCAACTTGTAACTATTTTTTAGTCATAGGCGATATCTTTTAGGCATAGGCGATTTAGATAATAAATATCCGCAAAATAATGTAGATTAGCACATTTATATGTATTGCATATTGGAGCCAAAAATAAAATCTCTTGAAAATGAGTTAGTAGGCTTATTATAATCCATATCTAATCTCAATGTAAAGCCAATTTTACTATTTACAAAATGACACTAGAATTATTACAATAATCTTAATTATTTATTACAATGTATGAGCAAATGCCACTGAATATAGGCACTAAAAATTTAGAAACTAAATTATAACTTTTGACTCTTACAAAAAGAGGAGTGTTATAGTTTTAGAGACATGGTTTCGTATGAACCGATGTTAATTGTCTTTTTGTTTGAAATTCAACCATGCACACCTGTGAATCCATTGGTGGCAGGTCCGAATTAGTCATTAAACATATCAATTTAATATGTTGTGCCTAATACAAAAAACAATTGTTTCTTGGCTAAAAAGTGTCTTAACACAGTCAATATCATTTTTTTTAGGGAAGCAACATACTTTCTTAGATTCCTTACTATGGCTTTTTAACCTTCACTGGTTCCGGGCACTGGCACCATGGCGTAGCTGCTTTATCACACAACAACTCCACGTTTAACACGGTGATGGGAAGTTCGTCAATGGTGACCGTGTGTGTGCTCCACAGTTTGTATTGCACGTTGTGGACTCCTGTCAATCGGTCTCTGCGTCGCGTGACCTCACGCTGGTTGAAACATTTCCGCATGTCACGCCTGCGGTATGTTTTGTCATGGATGTGCCTGAAAATTGTCGATGATCATGAGGTATAAATCATTGTTATTAGAAATTTGGCATTTTACAATATTTAAAAGGGTTGTTCGTCATCTCGCACCTGTCAAACTCGCTAGCAGGCGCGAGTTGGGAAATTCCGATTTTACCTATTATTTTGTTCGTCAACTCGCACCTTTTCAAAAGTACAGTCAAATAAAAACGAATTGAAACTAAAAACTTTCAGTGTGTCGGGCATGTAGTGATCAAACTTTAAGGGATTCTTTGAATCAGTGCATTTTCGCATGTTAACCGCGCTATGGAACCACTGGGAAGGGGTATCCTTGTTCAACAATGACGTCGAGACTAAAAGACCTAGACTAATAAATGTACATTCGTTTTGTAGAATATCTGGTTTTTCTTACGTTGTAAAATAACTGAAAAGAAGTGAAAATGATCTGTATGTAAACGGTGTGTTTGCATAGATAAAATATTTGTATTTGTAATGAGGATCATTTCGATTTTTAGCTGTGAATGCAGATTTATAGGGCTAAGAAATCCTTAATACACAGTCCAAAAATTTTTGTTCTACGACAAAAATTGACGAAGTTATGGCCAAATTACTAAAAAAGTTCACTGACCGCCCGGCGCGGGGATGATGACGTCACTATATCCGATCCGAACGCTGCCGGCGTACTGCGTGGATAGAAAATATTTTTTTCTAGCCAAACTATCAGTTTTAGAGAAAAACTCGTAATGACATTTATTCATCAGAATAAAGCAAGCTATCCATAGGTAATTTTTAAAAATAGAAATTGTGCAAAATAACGCAAAAAATCCATACGCTCATACGATTCAATGGAACGCAGAGACGCGATTGGGGTCTCCGCGGTGGTATTTTTGGCGATTTATTCAAATAAAGTGTTCATAAGTGTTGTTAGAGTCATATCTTCTTCCAAGTAAAATATAAAAATATATAAGTATTAATTTATTTACTTCTAACAATAAGGTAGGTATAGCTGAGGCAGATACACTCTGCCTAGGCTACAAGACATTGCTATGAAGATCATTTCGATGTACACGCAATACCTACCTGTTATTTAGTTTTTCTAAGTTAAACCTACGCACCTACCTATCTATTCGCCGTTCCCATGGGCGGGCCAGCTGCTGCAGGAAAGGACAGCTGCTCCCCCTCCTGGAAATCTATTTAATCTTAGCCTAGAAGCTGGGTATGACTCCCCCGCCCCCCTCCTCTCCCCAGGTCATAAGCTGGGCATGACTTCCCCCTCGGCTANTTACAATAATCTTAATTATTTATTACAATGTATGAGCAAATGCCACTGAATATAGGCACTTAAAATTTAGAAACTAAATTATAACTTTTGACTCTTACAAAAAAAGTGGAGTGTTATAAGTTTTAGAGACGTGGTTTCGTATGAACCGATGTTGATGTTCATTTTGTTTGAAATTTAACCACCTGTGAATCCATTGGTGGCAGGTCCGAATTAGTCATTAAACATATCAATTTATTATGTTGTGCCTAATACAAAAAACAATTGTTTCTTGGCTAAAAAGTGTCAATGTAAATTTTTTTAAGGAAGCAACATATTTTCTTAGATTCCTTACTATGGCTTTTTAACCTTCACTGGTTCCGGGCACTGACACCACGGCGTAGCTGCTTTATCACACAACAACTCCACGTTTAACACGGTGATGGGAAGTTCGTCAATGGTGACCGTGTGGGTGCTCCACAGTTTGTATTGCACGTTGTGGAGGCCTGTCAATCTGTCTCTGTGTCGCGTGACCTCGCGCTGGTTGTAACATTTCCGCATGTCACGCCTGCGGTATGTTTTGTCATGGATGTGCCTGAAAATTGTTGATAATTATGAGGAATAAATCATTGTTATTAGAAATTTGGCATTTTATAATATTTAAAACATGATTTAGAACTTGATTAACTATCCAACAAAACATCTGACAATCCTCTCTGAGAAATATCATGGGATTAAGATATTATTATAGGAGAAGATTAGTAAAGTTTATTCAGGTTATTCCTCGTGTTGGACCCGCAGACAAAGCAATATAATGTTTACCGAATAAATTACCAATTGTATTTGAAGGTGTAAATGGTGTGTTTGCATAGATAAAATATTTGCATTTGTAATTAGTAGGTACACGGGCAAAGTGGCAACTTATGTTATTGTGAAAAAAGGTGGTATTTTTCTAGGCCATTATAAATACATTTGTTAACCCACATAATCCGGATTATAGGCTTATCTAATAAAGTTATAAATAAACAAATATTCAATATGTTATTGATATCTAACTACTGTTTATCAGAGGAAAATAGTTATTTAGCAGATTAGGCATTAGGCGTAGCTATGGATTTGATAAGCAACCACTTAGTAGGTGGTAAATTGTTGCGTATAAATTGTGACGAAATTTTGTCTCTAACTGGGGCAAAAAGCAATCAAGGGTATATTTATTTGAACAAAGACATTAACATATTCTGCTGCATGAAAGTCTGTAGGTATTCAATAAATAATTGAGTACCTAAGTATTTGAAAAGAAAAGTATTGTTGTAACATTTAAACATTAAAGAAACTGTACCTGAAAGTATTTTCTGGTCCTGTAGTAATATTAGCTGGTCTTGTGACTTTCAACCGTGCGTCTTTTAATCGCACATAGAATTCATCGTCTTCCAGTCCCCAGCCCCAGTAGTTATTTGACATTCCGTCAACTAGCTCGTAGTGCTCTCTTTTGACTAGCAATATGCCACCAATAAATGTATCGTAGTGGTATTTTGGATGAGTTTGCGGAGATGAGATGTGAAAAGGTCCTGATGCAGGATAATCGTACTTCAAGTCGTCATTTACAGGAAGTAAATCCACGTCATGCATTGCAATATAGTCGTAATCGTTCCTTGTGTACAAAAACCCAACATTTATCAGCGATGCACGGTTGAATCGATTGCTATCTTTTTGCTGCACCACAAATATGTGAAACGGTATATTCTGCTTGTTTAAAAAGCCGTACATGTGTGGCACAAATTCTAAGAGCTCCTCGAAGCGATCTCTGAACGGCACGAGTATTGCTAAACGTTTTTTATTCGGCACTTTCGATGAGATCTGCTGTCTTATTGGTTTAGGTAATGCCTGTTTTTCTGTGGAAATAACGCTCATTAAAGTCAAATTATGCGAGAGTAACGTACTTAGCTTTCTAAAGATTTAATATTCAATGAGTATCTCACCTGATTGTATCGGTAATGAGGCTAAATAGCAGCCCATTATAAAAGTTATGCCCAAGCAAAATGCAAGGCATCGTGAGGCACTTATTCTATATCCCATTAAATCAACACTTCCGTACATACAAGTCGACGTCAAGTGTTAGCACTCCGATGCATAATTTTCAAGTAATCATCACAATTTCATTAATAAATTGTGATAAAACATTTGCACGAAACCCGACAGGAATAAAACCAAATTTGACATTGACAATCCAGCTGAGCACACAGCCACAGACCAGAGTAAACACAGACAGACTGGAACACAAATATAATACCACACAGCTGAGCTGACTGTTTTTTTAGGGTTCCGTAGTCCTGACAAGGAACCCTTAGGCCCAGAACAGACGGTGAAACGCAACTGCAACGAAACTGCAACTGCTAGTTACTTTTGAGTTGCATCTAAGTCGAGAGACCACACATAACGCGACGCGACCAGTTTGAAAGTTTCAAATATGTCTGTCTGTCTATCTGTCTGTCCGAGGTTTTGCTTGGACACTATTTTTAGAGAGCTGTAATTTTGTGAAGGTATGTATATTAATCATGCCGAAAAAACGGTAAAATAAAATTTAGAATAAAAATTTTACATGTAAAAAAAAGTAGGGATGATTTTCTTTTCATCTTCTACCCCATCGTGTGGGCATAGAGGAATTATGGGGTATCGTTGGATAGGTCTTTTAAAATGGCTATTACTATTTTTCCATTTAGGGATCTGTTTGCAAATTATTAAAGTTTAAAGTGCCAATTTTTGGTCGAGTAGGGCGTCCCCCCTCTAAAAATTAAACTGTTGGCTTAAAAAATCTGGAAAAATTCATGATAATAGTGCTTTTTATGAACTTTCAAGGAAAACTATAGCGGTTAAGATAGAGTAGTTAGTTCAAGAGTAATAGTCGTTTTACTTAAGTATTATAAAATTTCATACCTAATAAAAAATTAGAAGAAAATATTAAAAGTGACTAGATGAAGAAATTGCTTGCTTCTGAAATAGGTACATTGTGGTAACGACGGACAACTACGGAACCCTACACTGCGTGTGTCACGACCACGCATTTGGTTTTTTTTTTGTTCACTGATTATTTACTAGTGCCGTTTACGAAGGCAGTTCATTCGACNTCTTTAACAAATAATAAATCAAATTCATGTTTAAATGCAGTTTATGACATAATTTTTAAATTGTCACTATTAATATTTTTACTGAATAACCTGTAAAAGTTAATTCTACAATTTCTGAAAAATCACCTAAAAGTAACCTTTTCATTAGTGTAACCTAAAAGTAACCAATGCAGTTCAAAAGTAACCTAAAAGGTTACAAAAGTAACCTTCTGGCAACACTGCACAAATATATATTGACAACTTACAAGTATTCGGCCAATGGTACAAATTTCCAGGCCAGGAGGGATTAAATAAAAAAAAAAAAAAACCACACAGCTGACCTGACTGTTTTTTTAGGGTTCCGTAGTCCTGACAAGGAACCCTTCTTAGGCCCAGAGCAGACGGTGTGAAACGCAACTGCAATGAAACTGCAACTGCTAGTTACTTTTGAGTTGAAACTTTCAAACTGGTCGCGTTATGTGTGGTCTCTCAACGGACGCTATGGCAGAAACAGAAACTTAAGATGCAACTCAAAAGTAACTAGCAGTTGCAGTTTCGTTGCAGTTGCGATATGTTGTCTTAAAAATCTGGATTATGTAACATCTAATGTACCACATTCTGCAAATAAATAATTTGAATTTGAATTTGGAAAAATTCATGATAATAGTGCTTTTTATGAACTTTCAAGGAAAAATATAGCGGTTAAGATAGAGTAGGTAGTCGTTTTGTATTATAAAATTTCATACCTAATTTTTATTGATTTATTTATTTTCATACATTTTTATGTATATATTAAAAGTGACTAGATGAAGAAATTGCTTGCTTCTGAAATAGGTACATTGTAGTAACGACGGACAACTACGGAACTACTTTTCTCTATGTACGGAACCCTATACTGCGCGTGTCACAACCACGCATTTGGTTTTTTTTGTCCACTGATTTATTAGTGCCGTTTACGAAGGCAGTTCATTCGACACGTGCTGCTTTTGTTTGTACAATAGCTATTATCTAATCCATATCTGTGGCTATTATAATAGGTTGTTTGAGAAATAAGATATTTAATTATGGTAACTTTTATTCTAATTTTTCAATTTACAAAATTATAGGTTTACTGGAGGAGAATGCCATTTTTGGCTTTGAGTTCGCCTTTTGCATTCTGTTCTATGTGCAAATAAGTTTTGGTGCAAATAGGGAATTTTAAACAAAAAACACATTGTTAACGAATATAATTCAATGTTTAATTTCATGAAAAACAATAATATTTATACTTTGACTATGTCCGACATAAAATAACAACCAAGTCCATAAACCTTAAAGTACATAGACGATAGGTACAAAATAATAAGTCATGAATTCTTTTTTTAATTGTTTATCAAACCATACGACAGCCGGTATGGATAGTCGATATAAAGCACGCAGAAAGTCCTCAAATGCTGTTTATTTAACAAGGATTCTATCAGACGTGTGGCTGGCTANTGACTGGAGGAGAATGCCATTTTTGGATTTGAGTTCGCCTTTTGCATTCTGTTCTATGTGCAAATAAGTTTTGGGGCAAATAGGGAATTTTAAACAAAAAACACATTGTTAACGAATATAATTAAATGTTTAATTTCATGAAAAACAATAATATTTATACTTTGACTATGTCCGACATAAAATAACAACCAAGTCCATAAACCTTAAAGTACATAGACGATAGGTACAAAATAATAACTCATGAATTCTTTTTTTAATTGTTTATCAAACCATACGACAGCCGGGATGGATAGTCGATATAAAGCATGCAGAAAGTCCTCAAATGCTGTTTATTTAACAAGCATCCTATCAGACGTGTGGCTGGCTAGCTGCCCAAGGTTCAGAGTCACCTGGCCGAAGCGACGTTATGCAGAGTCATTATGGTTTATAATCACGTGGTCTTATTTGAGGATGAGCCTGGTGCTATAGCCATAAGATTCAGAATCGTTATTTCATATCCGTCACGAGCCGTCTCTCAGCCGTCGCCAGTGTGTGACGCTCAGAAGATTCAGAATCGTGCGTGCTTTTCGTGTATTTTACTGGCTGGCTATTCCACGGGGTTTGGCTGGCACCAGCGTCATAATGGCTTGGCCTTTATAAGCTGTCCATAGGCGACACCGACGCCGGCGTGACAAACCGCCTGTCAGCTCTCATCTGTGTGTGATTTTCAGAAGATTCAAAATCGTGCGTATTGTTGGCGCCAGCGTCATAAAGTTCAGAATCGCAGCTTTTTCATAGGCTATCCGTCGGCGACACTGACGCCAGCGTCAAGGTTCATAATCGCCTGGTCTTTATAAACTATCCGTAGGTGACACCGACGCCGGCGTGACAAGCCGCCTGTTAGCCGTGGCCAGTGTGTGACTGGCGCAAGAATCAGAAGGTTAAGAATGATATTTTACTGGCTGGCTATTCCACGGTGTTTGACTGCCATCAGCGTCATAAAGTTCATAATCGCCTGTCTAATATATGGGACGTGTAAAAGTGCTTTTTTAAAGTTTATTTGCAGAAATAAATGAGTTTTATGACTTTTTAAGAGTTTTCTTTATAAACTGTCCGTAGGCGACACCGACGCCGGCGTGACAAGCCGCCTGTCGGCCTAGGCCAACGTGTGGCTGGCGCTAGCGTCATATGGTTCATAATCGCTTGGTCTTTATAAGCTGTGTGTCGGCGACACCGACGCCGGCGTCACAAGCCGCCTGTCAACTGTCAGCGTGTGGGGCGTGACAAGTCTCCTGTCAACTGTCAGTGTATGACTGGCACTAGCGTCGGGCGCGCGCACGGCGTCGTGCTGGTGCACGTTGCGCACGTTTCATATCGCCTGGCCTTCATAGCAGAGTAAATACAAATGAGTAGGTCATCTTCATAGAAACGCACCGAGCGCGGTTTGTGTGTGAGCGCGCCAACAAGTATGCGGCGCGCACGCACACACTGACAAAATTCGGCGCAACCACGACTGGCTCCCCGCTAAAGCGCCGCATACAAACCGCGCTCGGTGCGTTTCTATGAAGATGACCTACTCATTTGTATTTACTCTGTTTATAGGCTGTCCGTAGGTGATACAGACGCCGGCGTGACAAGTCTCCTGTCAACTGTCAGCGTGTGGCTCGCACCGGCGTCGGGCGCGCGCACGGCGTCGCGCTGGTGCACGTTGCGCACGTTTCATATCGCCTGGTCTTTATAAGCTATCCGTCGGCGACACCGATGCCGTCGTCACAAACCGCTTCTCAGCCGTCGCCACCGCCTGACGCTCAGAAGATTCAGAATCATGCGTGCCTTTTGTGCGTATAGTCAGCACCAGCGTAATAAGGTTCATAATCACCTGGCTTTCACATCTGTCGGCGATACAAGCTGCCTGCTGTTGTCTGCGTGTGGCTGACGCAAGAATCAGAAGGTTCGGAGTGATATTTTACCAGCGTCATAAAGTAAGAGATGATGACTGGGTAATGAAATCGAAATTCTATTTAGTCCGTCAGACAAATAATAAAAAAAAAATTGACACAATTTTTATTTTTTTTTCATAATCGAATAATTACAGTATTATATTGAGTTGAAATGTCGCGTGACGTCACTTTTGAGTAAAAAATCTACTCAAACGTGACGTAATGCGCCATTTCAACTCGATGTAGCACTGTTATTGTTTAATTATGAAAGAAAATAAAAAATATGAATCTAATATTTTCTAATAATCTGACGGACAAATAATTGAAATTTTGTCATCTAGTCTATGGCAGCTTTTTCATAAGCTATCTGTCGGCGACACTGACGCCGGCGTGACAAGTCTCCTGTCAACTGTCAGTGTATGACTGGCACTAGCGTCGGGCGCGCGCACGGCGTCGCGCTGGTGCACGTTGCGCACGTGGACGGAGACGTTGCCGCGGTGCGCGAAGCGCGCGGGACACAGCCAGCACTGGAACGGCTTCTCGCCTGTGTGGGTCTGGAAATAAACACACAATAGACATGTTGACACCACCAATCAATTGACGTACTTTTTAAAACTGTCAAAACGAAACTCTCCCATAGATTTTGTATGGTACTACAAGCAAATGACGTTACTATTTTGTCACCTCAAACTACTTTTTTGAATTACAATGCGAACAAAAATCGTAATTTACAGGTAATTTAAAATTAATTAAGTTTTTAAGACCAGAATGAAGGGTCTTTTTAAAAAAGTTGTGGTTTCGAATTATTGGGGTATGGTGTCAAAAAGTCTATTTCAATAATCTTCCTATTATAATGTGTTAAATAAAGTTTTTATATTCTATTTTTCTGTTTAATTTCACCAGTGGTTTTTAACAGTGCCCCGATTACGCTAATTTTTAACGTCTCCAATACAGACGCGCTTCTTCGATTTCCGTATCGCAGAATCGAAGAAGCGCGTCTGTATTGGAGACGTTAAAAATTAGCGTAATCGGGGCTCAGAACTATTGCATGGTCTGTATGTTAGCGCCGGGTTACTCATACAAAAAAAAATACACTTATTTTGAAGAGTTTACGGAGACAGTTCTAAAAAAATAGCAGTCCCCCAGACCAGCGGTTCCCGAAAGGTGGTCCGCGGAACCCTGGGGTTCCGTGGAAAGGCCGCAAGGGTTCCGTAAAAAATATTATCCCACGTTTCGTGACCGACGTTGTTCGCGCGCACCGACTTGTTTACGCACAAGGGAGGGGCAGGGCGTGCGGGCGGAGTAGTACGGGGGTTCCGCTAGGAAAAGTATAATATAATCAATTAGAGTTCCTTGGCAAAAAAAAATGGGAAACCCTGCCCTAGACAGGCAAAATGTGACAGTTGAAATTTCGAAATCCCTTCGATCCTTTTTATTAGTTTTCGAAATCACTCCATGAAGCGAATTAACTAAATATACACACCCTGATATGCAGCTGTATGTCCTCCCTGGCATAGAAGCCTTTCCCGCAGAAGTGGCAGCGGAATCGTGGCACCGCCTCGTGCCGCCTCGCGTGGCGTTGTAACCGCACTAGGTTATGGAACTTTTTGCCGCACTCCTTGCATTCCACGTTTTTCTCACCGTGGGTTAACTCGTGCTGGGACAGGTGGGAGTATGTCTGGAAGAAACACATGATTCAGTCAAAAGACATTACTGCTCAATAAATAATAGATAAATAATAATGCATTTCAGACATTCAAAGATCCATACACTAGAAATATTTAAAGCCAAATCAGTCATTTACATCATACAAATAAATCTATCGTATCACGTATGTGCTTCGGCAAACATGCCTGACGCGCTGCCAATGCCAGTACCGTGGCGTATACTATAGGCCAGTGTTTCCCAAACTATTGCGAACATTGAGTGGGCCCTGCCTGTAAAACGACACCACCCTACCGATCCAACCTCTGGGCAGTGGGCGAAATTTCCTATAGGTGGTCCCGAGTTTGGGAACTTGTATTAGATGAGTCGTAGCCCAGACAACTCTGGGAACATTTGTTCATTTGTTTTCCGGAAATTTTAGGGTAATATTCTATAAATAAAAACTAGTTAAAGAGTCTTAGAAATATGTGTTTTTCAAAGCATATTTTTGAAGATATTGTCGATTCTAGATTTAGAAGATACCTAGTTGATTTAGATTATAGTATCATCAATCTAGTTTTTTTCTTACAAAATTGTCACCTAGTCTTTTTGTGCAGACTTTTTATTGATAAGTGTATGTAAATTATGAATTATTTCAGTGAAATATTAAGTTTTTAAATAATTTCATATGAAAAAATAAGTCGAAAAAATTTTTGAATTTAACAAAAAATATAATGCCATTCCATTCTTTCAAGTGGTCTTATTAATACCCTAGAGTTCCAGGAAAACAAAAAGAACACGTTGTATAGATATTATGGGTGAAATTTCTTAAAAATTTTATACTCTATTTTATTTATTATCTTGTACTGTTACTCTTGTATACCAATCAATTGCTATCATACCCAAAATAATCAATTGTAAATTGAACCTTACCGTCTTAACAATACCGCAGTGCTGGCACATGTAGTTGCCTTCCCGCCGGTAGGGGTACTGGCGGTCCTTGTGGAACGCCAGGTAGTGGTGGAAGTGCTCCATCTTGGACTGCACCATGTGGTCACACTGGAAACATTACAAAAGAGGATGCTATATACAAATCCTATGTAATTTATTAAAACTTTTTCTTTACGATGAAGCCTAGACTGTAAACTGTTTGTACACCTATTACAAATAAATAAATTCTTTGTAATAAACATTTAGAGCATTGGTTCCCAAACTTATTTGAGACGCGCCCCCTTTCGACCATAAAAAAAATTCTGCGCCCCCCCTCCTCCAGTCAAGATTATTTATTGGTTGAATCGAGCAGTCTGGAATGCATTCTCTTAGCGGTCCCAGGTTTTTTATACTTAAGTACACAGATAGCCCGCGCCCTCATTTTTAAAGGTCTTTGCGCCTCCCCTGGGGGGCGCGTCCCCCACTTTGGGAACCAATGATTTAGAGGCAATTTAAATTGAGGGGTAACCATAACATTGTAAGACCCAGAAAATTAGGGGGGAGAGACAAAATATTTTAATTGAATATAAAAAGAGCAGTTTTTATGTTTTTTGAAAATTTCATTTTCTGTCACTTATAAAATTATTATGGTTTGGCAAACATCAATAAATGTAATTCCAACAAATAAACAATAATATTGTTGTAAATTTACATTAAAATCTGTTCAGGTTCAGGATCATTTATAAAAGAATAACAGCCATCCCTACAAACTTACATAATTTTATTCTAGTTAGATTCTGATTGATTTGTAAGTAAAAGTTGACCTTGAAAAACTTGACCCTGCAAGTGACAGCAAAACCCTTGACCATGCATGTTTTTCTTTTGGGTAATAATATATGTATGTATATGGAAAATACATATAATTAACATACAGTGGCGGCGTAGCATGAGTTGGCACCCGGGGCGATCCAATTCGAAGATTGAAAGACCCCCCCCGTATCATGACATAGACCGTAGACTTGCCACGCAGATGCGCCAGTGAGTACTAATCTGCGCGACTTGTGTCACCCCCTGATGCTGGCACCCGGGGCGGACCGCCCCCACCTCCCCCCCCTTACGCCTCTACTGTTAACATAGCTTTTTACTTACATCATCACATTTCATGGGGTATTTTCTATAATCGCGTTTTTCTTTCTTGATCCTCTTCTGTTTAGGTTTTGCGGGTTTTCTCTTTTTGTTTTTCGTAGCAGGAACTTCCTTTTTACATTTTCTAGTAAGAACGTCTCGTAGGATTGCTTTATCATCAGAATCATCGTCACTATTATTAAATGAGGGTTTTTCATCGTAATCATCTGTATCTATTTTGACTTTTGTATCGTCGTCATTATCAAGATTCTCACTTTGTATATTTTGGACGTCTATTTTAATTTCTATTTTGTGTACATTTTCCTGTTTGATAAGTCCGAAATCGTGGACTTGTTCATTCTCACTTCCGTATACGGCTTCTGGATAGTAATCTATGGGCGTTAAGAATGTTTCACTGCCGTATACGTCTTCCTTTTTCGTAATGCACACATTCTCCATTGCTTCTACGCTGAAGTTAGTTTTGGCTTTACCATCGTTCTCTTCCCAAAAGCAATAGTTTACGGAATTTTCTTGGCTGACGAGGTTTTCGTCTAGCTCTAATTTGTGTCTGTCTATCTTTTTTAGGGATGCATTTGTAATCTGGAAATAAGAAAACATCTCATAAATGTCTATTAAATATCCATTTAATCTATATAATGTCCAGAACTATTAAGGTCCCAGATTTTTATGTAATTTGGCATTTTTGAAGCCACGATAGCCGAACGGTGAAGGGGTCGGACTGGCCGACTCGTGATCCGGGGAACGCGGGTTCGGTCCCCGCCGCCGCTCAACTATTGTGGTGAGCTCACTCGTGACACAAGCATATTTAGCTTAGTACGAGGGGCTAACGGGAGTATTAGTAATTTGTGTAATAACAAATTACTAATAATCTTTAAAAAAAAAAAAAAATATTTACAGATTTTTTATGGGCATCACAAGAGAACATGTACCTCAGAGTTGTTTTTGTACCTCAGAGCAAATAAGGGTTAAGCAGAATTTATTATTCAAGAGTGTTACTACATTTTATTTTATTCTTAACTAATTTCACTTGTTGATAAGTTTAAAGTCTAAGGTTACATATCTTCTTAGTACTGTTAATAACTCACTATCACTCTTAAAATTAGTTTGATTTAGGTGTGTTTTTAAAACAAAATGCATAGTAGCAAAATGCGTATTGGTCACTGTACTTTTTGTAATCTAACTGTACCCTGTTTTATGTCTAAGAGTAGGTAGTAGTAACTATCTTCATATTAAATAAATAAATAAATAAATATTAATAAACTCACTTTTTGTATTTGTAATAAAAAATAGTTAAATTTTAATAGTAAATAACTTACATCATTATTGTTCTCCAATATATCTTTAAGTATCTGTTGAGCTCTCAGTGCTTTTTTTACGAATTTGTAACTTTTATTCAATAGAAACTTGCACATACAACATACGTAGTTACTTGAAATGAAGCCCTGAAATTGAAAAGTATATTAGTAAATAAAAACAAAAAATACTCAACTAACATAAGAAGAAGAAGGAAACTAAATAAACAATCTTCAAAATATAATGCCAAGTTGTTTTCCTTTTGTTTGAGGACTTACATGATATCCATTTTGTTTAAATATTTCTTCAATAAAATTTTGAGCGTCCGAGTTTTGTAATTCGCATAATATTCCATCGGATTGAAGGCAAAATCGACATGCTTTCATTTTTGTTCTTAGTTAGTAATGGTATTTTAATCCTAAGTAGTATTACTTTAAATGTAAATTATTAAATTGAAAAATGAAATGAAAATACAAATTTTATGGCGAACGAAGTTTTGACAAGTTGACAAAAAATGACAACACACATCACATTCATTCATTTAGCGTTTCGTTCTAAAAACCAATTTATCTTTGGAAATAAATAAAATAATTAATGTCCCTTAAAATTGCGAAAAGTTTGAATCTTTATAAATAATTTAAATTACAAAATAAATAATAAATGCTTCAGTCGCAGAAAAAAAAAATTGACCCTTTATAAAAAAAAGTCTTGAGACATTTGCATGCTTTTAGTTTTCGATACAAATAACAGATGGCTCTTATTGCGTAAAAAGCACAAGGTCTCCAGCAGGGCTGGTACACACTATTGCACTAGTTACAAGAAAGAATAACATTAATCTAATTTATTATCTTTCAGAGCAGATATTTAAAGTTGCTTATAAAAAAATACATGCGTTTCATGAAATTTGTCCTAAAATAAATAGTGTTTGTGAACACCCTAATCTATTAATGATAACCTAATAATTAACAATCTATTGTCTTTAATTGATCACATAAGGCCACCCACCCACTGCTCACTAATTATTGCGGCTATTAAGTATAGCATCAATGTGGAGACAAAGAAACAATAACCAATAATTACTAGGACCGTAGTAGACTTACTTTAATATTTTTAACCGACTTCAAAAAAGGAGGAGGTTANGCTGGCTAGCTCAGAGTCACCTGGCCGAAGCGACGTTATGCAAAGAGTCATTATGGTTTAGAATCACGTGGTCTTATTTGAGGATGAGCCTGGTGCTATAGCCATAAGATTCAGGATCGCTATTTCATATCCGTCACGAGCCGTCTCTCAGCCGTCGCCAGTGTCTGACGCTCAGAAGATTCAGAATCGTGCGTGCTTTTCGTGTATTTTACTGGCTGGCTATTCCAAGGTGTTTGGCTGGCACCAGCGTCATAATGGCTTGGCCTTTATAAGCTGTCCGTAGGCGACACCGACGCCGGCGTGACAAGCCGCCTGTCAGCTATCATCTGTGTGTGATTTTCAGAAGATTCAAAATCGTGCGTATTGTTGGCGCCAGCGTCATAAGGTTCAGAATCGCTGCTTTTTCACAGACTATCCGTCGGCGACACCGACGCCGGCGTAAAGGTTCATAATCGCCTGCCCCCCTAGACAAAACGCACTTTTTGATCGAATCGAAAATCGAATCCGTCAAAACTCCATACAAAAAAGGGGCTTTTCGACCACTTATCGACTGGTTTGCGATTATAATTTGCACTTTGTCTAGACCCACTGGTCTCTATAAACTATCTGTCGGCGACACTGACGCCGGCGTGACAAGCCACCTGTCAGCTGTCAGTGTGTGGCTCGCACTAGCATCAGAAGGTTCAGAATGATATTTTACTGGCTGGCTATTCCACGGTGTTTGACTGCCATCAGCGTCATAAAGTTCATAATCGCCTGTTTAATATTGGGACGTGTAAAAGTGCTTTTTTAAAGTTTATTTGCAGAAATAAATGAGTTTATGACTTTTTAAGAGTTTTATGAGTTTTCTTTATAAACTGTCTGTCGGCGACACAGACGCCGGCGTCACAAGTCTCCTGTCAGCTGTCAGTGTATGACTGGCGCCGGCGTCGGGCGCGCGCACGGCGTCGCGCTGGTGCACGTTGCGCACGTTTCATATCGCCTGGCCTTTATAAACTATCCGTTGCCGAAGCAAGTCGCCTTTCAGCTGTCGCCAGCGTGTGACTAGCGCAAGAATCAGAAGGTTCAGAATGATATTTTACTGGCTGGCTATTCCACGGTGTTTTTACCAGCGTCATTAAGTTCAGAATTGCAGTTTTTTCACAGGTATCCGTCGGGTTTGGCTGGCCCCAGCGTCATAAGGTTCATAATCGCCTGTTTAATATTGGGACGTGTAAAAGTGCTTTTTTAAAGTTTATTTGCAGAAATAAATGAGTATTATGATTTTTTAAGAGTTTTATGAGTTTTCTTTATAAACTATCTGTCGGTGACACCGACGCCGGCGTCACAAGCCGCCTGTTAGCCGTGGCCAGTGTATGACTGGCGCAAGAATTAGAAGGTTCGGAACATTTTACTGGCTGACAATACACGGTGTTTAGCTTCCACCAGCATCAGCGTCATAAAGTTCATAATTTTTAAAGCCTATTTGCAGAAATAAATGACTTTTATGATTTTTTAAGAGTTTTATGAGTTTTCTTTATAAACTGTCCGTAGGTGACACCGACGCCGGCGTGACAAGTCTCCTGTCAGCTGTCAGTGTATGACTGGCGCCGGCGTCGGGCGCGCGCACGGCGTCGCGCTGGTGCACGTTGCGCACGTTTCATATCGCCTGACCTTTATATCCGTCGGCGAAGCAAGTCGCCTTTCAGCTGTCGCCAGCGTGTGGCTGGCGCAAGAATCAGAAGGTTCAGAATGATATTTTACTGGCTGGCTATTCCACGGTGTTTTTACCAGCGTCATTAAGTTCAGAATTGCAGTTTTTTCACAGGTATCCGTCGGGTTTGGCTGGCCCCAGCGTCATAAGGTTCATATTCATCTCGCTTTCACAGACTATCTGTCGGCGAAACCGACGCCGGCGTCACAAGTCGCCTTTCAGCCGTCGCCAGTGTGTGGCTGGCGCAAGAAGCAGAAGGTTCGGAGTGATATTTTACTGGCTGGCTATTCCACGATGTTTGGCTGGCACCAGTTTAATATTGGGACGTGTAAAAGTGCTTTTTAAAGCCTAGAAATAAATGAGTTTTATGACTTTTTAAGAGTTTTATGAGTTTTCTTTATAAACTATCTGTAGGCGACACCGACGCAGGCGTGACAAGTCTCCTGTCAACTGTCAGCGTGTGACTGGCGCTAGCGTCGGGCGCGCGCACGGCGTCGCGCTGGTGCACGTTGCGCACGTTTCATATCGCCTGGTCTTTATAAACTATCCGTCGGCGAAGCGATTTGTGTTGCTGGAACCAGCGTCATAAGGTTCATAATCGCCTGGCCTTTATAAACTGTCTGTAGGTGACACCGACGTCGGCGTCACAAGCCGTCTGCCAGCTGTCGCTAGAGTGTGGCGCTCAGAATATTCAGAATCGTGCGTAATTTACTGGCTGGCTATTCCACGGTGTTTTACTGGCACCAGCGTCATAAGGTTCAGAATTGCAGTTTTTTCACAGGTATCCGTCGGGTTTGGCTGGCACCAGCGTCATAAGGTTCATATTCATCTCGCTTTCACAGACTATCTGTCGGCGAAACCGACGCCGGCGTCACAAGTCGCCTTTCAACCGTCGCCAGTGTGTGGCTGGCGCAAGAATCAGAAGGTTCGGAGTGATATTTTACTGGCTGGCTATTCCACGATGTTTGGCTGGCACCAGTTTAATATTGGGACGTGTAAAAGTGCTTTTTAAAGCCTAGAAATAAATGAGTTTTATGAGTTTTATGAGTTTTCTTTATAAACTGTCCGTAGGTGACACCGACGCCGGCGTGACAAGTCTCCTGTCAACTGTCAGCGTGTGGGGCGTGACAAGTCTCCTGTCAGCTGTCAGTGTATGACTGGCGCCGGCGTCGGGCGCGCGCACGGCGTCGCGCTGGTGCACGTTGCGCACGTTTCATATCGCCTGGCCTTTATAAACTGTCCGTCGGCGACACCGACACCGTCGTCATGAGCCGCTTGTCAGCTATTGCCAGTGTGTGACGCTTAGAAGATTCAGAATCATGCGTGCCTTTCGTACGTATGGTTGGCGCCAGCGTCATAAAGTTCAGTATCGCAGCTTTTGTGTTGCTGGCACCAGCGTCATAAGGTTCATAATCGCCTGGCCTTTATAAACTGTCTGTAGGTGACACCGACGTCGGCGTCACAAGCCGCCTGCCAGCTGTCGCCAGCGTGTGGCGCTCAGAAGATTCAGAATCGTGCGTAATTTACTGGCTGGCTATTCCACGGTGTTTTACTGGCACCAGCGTCATAAGGTTCAGAATGGCAGCTTTTTCAAAGGCTATCTGACGGTGACACCGACGCCGGCGTGACAAGTCTCCTGTCAACTGTCAGCGTATGACTGGCACTAGCGTCGGGCGCGCGCACGGCGTCGCGCTGGTGCACGTTGCGCACGTTTCATATCGCCTGGCCTTTATAAACTATCCGTCGGCGACACCGACGCCGTCGTCATGAGCCGCCTGTCAGCTATTGCCAGTGTGTGACGCTCAGAAGATTCAGAATCATGCGTGCCTTTTGTGCGTATAGTCAGCACCAGCGTAATAAGGTTCATAATTACGTAGCTTTCAAATCTTTCGGCGATACAAGCTGCCTGCTATTGTCTGCGTGTGGCTGGCGCAAAAATCAGAAGGTTCGGAGTGATATTTTACCAGTGTCATACAGTTCAGAATCGCAGCTTTTTCACAGACACCGACGCCCAGAGTCTTAACTATAGCCTGTATGTGATGCTCAGAATCGCCTGGTCTTTATAAACTGTCTGTCGGTGATACAGACGCCGGCGTCACAAGCCGCCTGTCAACTGTCAGCGTGTGGGGCGTGACAAGTCTCCTGTCAACTGTCAGTGTATGACTGGCACTAGCGTCGGGCGCGCGCACGGCGTCGCGCTGGTGCACGTTGCGCACGTTTCATATCGCCTGGCCTTTATAAACTATCCGTCGGCGAAGCAAGTCGCCTTTCAGCTGTCGCCAGCGTGTGACTGGCGCAAGAATCAGAAGGTTAAGAATGATATTTTACTGGCTGGCTATTCCACGGTGTTTTTACCAGCGTCATAAAGTTCGTAATCGCCTGTTTAATATTGGGACGTGTAAAAGTGCTTTTTTAAAGTTTATTTGCAGAAATAAATGAGTTTTATGAGTTTTAAAGAGTTTTATGAGTTTTCTTTATAAACTATCCGTCGGCGACACAGACGCCGGCGTCACAAGTCGCCTGTCAGCTGTCAGCGTGTGGGGCGTCACAAGTCTCCTGTCAACTGTCAGCGTGTGGCTTGCACTGGCGTCGGGCGCGCGCACGGCGTCGCGCTGGTGCACGTTGCGCACGTTTCATATCGTCTGGCCTTTATAAACTATCCGTCGGCGAAGCAAGTCGCCTTTCAGCTGTCGCCAGCGTGTGACTGGCGCAAGAATTAGAAGGTTCGGAGTGATTTTTACTGGCTGGCTATTCCACGGTGTTTTTACCAGCGTTATTAAGTTCAGAATTGCAGTTTTTTCACAGGTATCCGTCGGGTTTGGCTGGCACCAGCGTCATAAGGTTCATATTCATCTCGCTTTCACAGACTATCTGTCGGCGAAACCGACGCCGGCGTCACAAGTCGCCTTTCAGCCGTCGCCAGTGTGGCTGGCGCAAGAATCAGAAGGTTCGGACTTCGGAGTGATATTTTACTGGCTGGCTATTCCACGATGTTTGGCTGGCACCAGTTTAATATTGGGACGTGTAAAAGTGCTTTTAAAGTTTTTTTGCAGAAATAAATGAGTTTTATGACTTTTTAAGTTTTCTTTATAAGCTGTCCGTAGGTGACACCGACGCCGGCGTGACAAGTCTCCTGTCAACTGTCAGCGTGTGGGGCGTGACAAGTCTCCTGTCAACTGTCAGTGTATGACTGGCGCCGGCGTCGGGCGCGCGCACGGCGTCGCGCTGGTGCACGTTGCGCACGTGGACGGAGACGTTGCCGCGGTGCGCGAAGCGCGCGGGACACAGCCAGCACTGGAACGGCTTCTCGCCTGTGTGGGTCTGGAAATAAACACACATCTTATTATTGTTGTCTTTATTGTTTTTATTATTATCATTTAATTTTGTTCGTATATTTTATCTCAGCTTTAGTGCTGGTAAGATTAATTGTTATTATTTTTTAATTTTGTGTTGTTTTATATTATTTTATTAATATTGACTGCCTGTATGCCCCCTTTGCTGCCCTCCTATTTGCGTGTTCCCGCCGACGGACAGGCACTTTACGGAGTGCTTCTCCTTCGGCGGTTGGGCGCAGCAACGTCAAGGGACCCGCTGAAAATCAGTGTCGAGGCATTCCCACGGCGTGCCCCGATTAATGCTGAGCGGGCCCCTATTTGACAGCAGGGCACAATGTTTTTCTTTTTGTAATTTGTGTAAATTTTAATGTGATGTCGCCCTTTTTGTCAAATAAAACATTTTTATTATTATTATTATTATTTTTTCTTACTAATATCATAAAGGCGAAAGTTTGGATGTCTGGATGTTTGTTACTCTTTCACGCAAAAACTACTGAACGGATTTTGTTGAAACTTTACAGTATTATTGTTTGTAACCCAGATTAACAATAGGCTATAATTTATGCCGATCTGTGACACTAAATTTCACGCGGGTGAAGCAGCGGGCAAAAGCTAGTGTTCAATAATCTTTCTATTGCATATTGTAATGTGTTAAATAAAGTATTCTATTGTATTTTTCTGTATTTACTTTCATCAGTTATTGGATTTTAACAGAACTATTGCATGGTATGCAATAGTGGTATGTTAGCGTCGGGTTACTCATACAAAAAAAAAATACACTTATTTTGAAGAGTTTACGGAGACAGTTCTGAAAAAATAGCAGACCCCCTAGACAGGCAAAATGTGACAGTTGAAATTTCGAAATCCCTTCGATCCTTTTTTTTATTTTTCGAAATCACTCCATGAAGCGAATTAACTACATACAAAAAATCCGGAACCAAGCCACTATCAATCATTGGGAGGAGGCTTATGTTCACGTCCTATGGCTGAAATGATGATAATGACAAAAGCGAAATAAAATTCATCGCCGTCAACAAACGATGATTTTTCTTTACAAACCCTAATATGCAGCTGTATGTCCTCCCTCGCATAGAATCCTTTCCCGCAGAAGTGGCAGCGGAACCGTGGCACCGCCTCGTGCCTCCTCGCGTGGCGTTGTAACCGCACTAGGTTATGGAACTTTTTGCCGCACTCCTTGCATTCCACGTTCTTTTCTCCGTGCGTCAACTCGTGCTGGGACAGATGGGAGTATGTCTGGAAAGAGAAATAATAGATCCGGTTAGCGTACCATCTCTACATTGTCGACATTCCACCAGCTCGCACAAAGCGTTTCGATGACTCTTTTATAATGCGAACAGCTAGGGACTGGAATTCGTTGCCTGCTGCTGTCTTTCCCGAAGACTATAATCCGAGCGTTTTCAAGGCGAGAGTGAATAGGCACTTACAGGGCAGATATGTACCATCCTAGACTGCATCCAACTTAACATCAGGTGCGATTGAGGTCAAATAACTTGTTATAAAAAAAAAGATTCGATGTTAATTTTATCAGTCTTACAACCAGCCCTTCTAGACAAAGTAAGGTCCGGTTTCCACCGAGGCGGAAGTGAAGAAATAAATAAATAATACTTAAATAAATTCTTTAAAAAAAAAAAGCGTTTCAAATTCCAAAATCTCTAGATGTGAATGTTAATAATTCTTACCTAGGATACATATCCTGGGTAATAAATATTGCCAGTAAAATTAACTGAATGTTCATTAACATTGACTGGTAACATCGAGAAATGAAAATGGCGTAAAATTAGATTTTTGTTAAAAAAATATCTGGGAAATTACTGTTTTATTTTATTTTACTTCAAGGGTGTTCATGTACAGACCAGACCCCACATCATGCTTAATACTATGGTATCTATGTCAATAGTATACTTTGCAATTTAAAAGTTTGTCTTATGCCAATTACGTATTCCACTAGTATGAAGGCTGCTGACACCAAAGTCCATCAGCTAGCCCAATTTCGCAAGACCACAAAACCAAGTAAACGCTGACGCCGCACCCGTGCACCGCCAACGTGACCGACGACCGGACGCCGAGCCAGCGCGCCATCACGCCACTCATAATCTTACATCGATCGGGTCAATACCATATTTTAGGAAATAAGTTTTATTGTAATTCTTTTATTTTATTTTAATTAAATAAGTATTAAAAAATCGGTTTTTTTTCGATCCTCCGGCTGTGAAATCCATAATTGGCGCAGTCGGTAGGATTCTCGCGGTCGGTTTCGCGCTAGAAGATCTCCGTACGAGCCGCCCGTGTGGCTATCAAGCCGCGCTTCGAGAATCCTGAACCAGAGATTAGCAGCCAGAGGTGTATCCGGACATCGATACGCGAAAAGAGAGCCGAAACATGTACATGTAAGTACACTAGAATCATTCTCGTGTCCTTCCTATTTTTCTAAGTCCTTAGTCCTTCATAATTTTTCACCCACGAAAATCGGGGTCCTGCGAGCCTGCATCAAGTCGGCAGTCTCGTAGGCAAAACTTAGACACTAATAGGTTAGCTAGTATTAACGAAAACATCATGGCAGTCTCTCCCGACGCCATTCATAAGGCCCTCCGCCTGGTTCCCGACTTCGACGGGAACCCCAACGTTCTCACTAGATTCATAAAGATTTGTGATAGAATATGTGCCGATTTCATTGTAGATGATCCCAACAGCGAATTAAATAATTTATGTGTCCTAAACGGCATCCTGAATAAAATAACAGGCCCTGCCGCCACTATTATTAACTCAAATGGAATTCCCGAATGCTGGGCAGGAATTAGAAACGTCCTTAAAAATAATTTTAGTGATCAAAGGGACGAAACCGCGCTATATAATGACCTCTCCTTAGCGACGCAAGGGAACAGTAGCCCTCAGGAGTTCTATGATAATTGTCAGACCCTGTTTAGTACAATAATGACCTATGTCACATTGCACGAATCTATTAGCACTACAATAGAAGCCAAAAGGGCGCTCTATAAAAAGCTGACCCTTCAAGCCTTTGTGCGAGGTTTAAAGGAACCTCTAGGATCTCGTATAAGGTGCATGAGGCCGGATAGCATAGAGAAAGCTCTGGAGTACGTACAGGAGGAACTTAACATACAGTATCTTCAACAACGTAATGACAGTATCCCGAGACATTTGATAGCTCAACGCACACCACCTTCCTTACCTACAGGTTTTTCAATGCCTAAACCTTATAACTATAATAGTGTTCCTATTTTCACAAACCAGGCGCCGCAGCGATTTATTCCGCCGCCGCCTCCGCTACGCTCAGCGATGCAACCGCAACCTTTTAAATTTAACCCGGTACCAAATGTACAGTCCCAACCGCGCATTTCTCGAACACAACAGATGTTCAGTGCACCACCCCCGAGGTATAACCCTCAGAGTAATATGTTTCGATTGCCACCCAGGCAGCATCCTCAGCTTCAACAGCATCCAGCTCCAAGACCTATGAGCGGAGTGCAACATTTTGTCCCTAAGACCTTACCCCCAACTTTATCTGGACACGACTGGCGAAGATTCGGAAATCCCCCGCCAACTAATTATTTAAAATCTCGCGAAGTAAATCTAAATGAATGTGATCCCTCAATGTATGATTCATACTACACAGACTATTATTGCGAACCCGAGTATTACAATGACTTAACTGACTATTATAACTACGATGCGACTTATAACTATGACAATAGAGTTCAATATTATGAGCCCACGGACAATAGCCCGATAGTAGAGTCAGGTAACGAGCCGCAGGCATCTAGTTCCACAGAGCAGGATTTTCAGATAGATCCAACGTTAGACAAGTTAAAATAGAGTTGAATATGCAAACGCAACGCCAACTTCCTTATATTCAGATTAATAACCCGCCAATTAAGTTGTTAATAGACACAGGCGCAAATCAATCATTCATCAGTCCTGAATGTGTTGAGAAATATTTTTATAACTTTCCTTTAGACTTCGACCCATTTGAAGTCACAAATGTGCACGCTACCAGCCGCAATGATTATTCTATAACACTTCCGTGTTTCCCTGAATTTAATAATCAGAATGAGATGAAGTTTTTTGTGTACCGCTTTCATGATTATTTCGACGGTCTGATAGGCCTAGACTTACTTACGAAATGGGAAGCAAAAATCGATCTCAAAGATCAAACCCTCTCAACTCAGTTTGCAGTTAATCCTATTAAGATGTATAATTCTCGTAATGTCAATCTCTATGAAGATATTATCCCAGCAGGCACATCTAAGATGATCAGAATCCCAATTAACGCCCCGGACGGCGACGTACTTGTCGAAGAGCAAATGATCTGTAATTGTCTAATTTCAGAATGCCTTACAACTGTTAAAAATAGCCGCGGAATATTAGAAGTCAGTAACTTAACAAATAATGATATTATATTTTCGCTAGACCACCCAGCGCAAGCGCAAGTCTTTAATATCGAGTGCACGCGCACCGCGCCAGCGAACACGACGCGCGCACGCGATGTCTTATCGCGCCTTAGGACGGATCATATGAATCCCGAGGAAAAGGCTAATATAGAGTCTTTGTGCTCGCGTTACGCCGACGTATTTTATTTAGAAGGCGAACCGCTCACATTTACTAACCAAATAAAGCACTGCATAAAAACTACAGACGATGTTCCGATCTATACTAAAAGTTATCGCTATCCATTTGTACATCGACAAGAGGTTAGAGATCAAATTAATAAAATGTTAGAGCAGGGAATAATTAGACCTTCCACATCCGCCTGGAGCTCGCCCATCTGGGTTGTTCCGAAAAAACAGGATGCATCTGGAAAAAAGAAGTGGCGTATAGTAGTAGACTTCCGCAAACTCAATGACAAGACTATCGATGACAAATACCCCATCCCGAATATAACTGACGTCCTTGACAAGCTTGGCAAATGCATGTACTTCACCACGTTAGACCTGGCATCTGGGTTCTACCAGGTTGAGATGAGTGAAGCTGATATACCGAAAACAGCCTTCAATGTAGAGCATGGGCATTATGAATTCTTGCGTATGCCCATGGGTCTTAAGAACTCACCTTCTACATTCCAAAGAGTGATGGACAACGTCCTCAAAGGGCTGCAAAACGAGATTTGTCTAGTTTACCTGGATGACATAGTCGTCTTTGGTAGTTCTCTCCAGGAGTCGATAAATAACCTTGAAAAGGTCCTCCAACGCCTACGGGAATCCAACTTCAAAATCCAGATGGATAAATCCGAATTCCTTAAGTTAGAAACAAGTTATCTTGGTCACATCATCACCCGTGATGGCATTAAGCCAAATCCAGACAAAATCTCTGCTATTGAGAAATATCCTATCCCTGAAACCCCTAAACAGATCAAACAATTTCTAGGTCTAATTGGCTACTATCGTAAGTTCATTCCCGACTTTGCCCGTATCACAAAGCCCTTAACTCAATGTTTAAAGAAAGGCAATAAAATTACATTCGACACTGAATACGTACAAGCATTTGAAAAGTGTAAAAAACTTTTGACCAACGACCCTATATTACAATACCCCGACTTTACTCGTGAATTTATCTTGACAACAGACGCTTCTAACGTAGCCATCGGTGCAATTTTATCTCAAGGGACTATAGGCGCAGACAAACCCATCTCATTTGCATCTCGTACTCTTAATGATAGCGAGTGTAATTACAGTACCATTGAGAAAGAACTTTTAGCCATTGTATGGGCTACAAAGTACTTTCGACCTTACCTTTTTGGACGAAAGTTTAAGATATTAACCGATCATCGCCCTCTTCAATGGATGATGAACCTAAAAGAGCCGAACTCGAGATTAACTAGATGGAGGCTGAAGTTAAGCGAGTATGACTTCACAGTAATCTATAAAAAAGGCAAAAATAACACGAACGCCGACGCTCTATCTAGGATCGAGATTAATAATGAGGAGATTAGTTCACTAGCCGCAAATCCCTCTGAGAAGCCAGCATCCGTCTCTAACTCAGACACTATGACCGCACACACTAGCCATGAACACCCAATTCTCGAAGTCCCAATTACCGATGAACCTATAAATAGATTTCATCGACAGTTGCACATCACTATTGTAGGTGACGTCAAACGACGGCCCGTAGTAACAAAGCCATTTGACACTCACACTCGTATTTCGTTGCAAGTTAGCGAATCTAACTTAGAGTCCGACATTATTAACGCAATTAAAGAATACGTACATCCCAAGGTTAAAACTGCATTACTAATAAATCCAACTCTTGCTATGTACTCAGTTATTCCGATCATACAAGATAAATTTAAGAGTTCATCTATGAATCTCGTTCTCGCCAAATCTGAAATAGAAAATGTTAAAGAATATCTCAGACAACAAGAAATAATTCGCAACTACCACGACGGTAAAACAAACCATCGAGGTATTACCGAGTGCTACCTATCCCTTTCTAAACGATACTTCTGGCCTAAAATGAAAGAGAACATTGCTAAATTTATAGGTGAATGTACTATATGTGGACAAGCGAAATATGATAGAAACCCAATTCGACAGCAGTTTAACGTAGTACCCCCAGCAACAAAACCTTTCGAAACTATTCACTTAGACTTATTTACAGCTCAGAACGAAAAGTACTTAACATTTATAGACGTTTTCTCTAAGTACGGCCAAGCATATCATCTACGAGATGGTACAGCAGTCAGCATCATTCAAGCCTTGTTACAGTTTTCAACTCACCACGGTCTTCCGTTCACTATTGTTACAGACAACGGAACTGAGTTCACTAACCAGTTATTTGCAGAGTTTGTACGCGTTCATAAAATAAATCACCATAAGACACTAGCTCATGCACCGAATGATAACGGAAACATAGAGCGTTTTCATTCGACTTTACTCGAGCACCTTCGTATATTAAAATTACGAAATAAAGATGAACCTATAATAAACTTAATGCCTTATGCAATTATAGCCTATAACAGTTCTATACATAGTTTCAATAAGTGCAAACCTTTCGATCTGATAACAGGACATTATGATCCTAGAGATCCCATTGAAATAGACCCTGTCCCACATTTGCTACAACAGTAT